ACTGCCGATAGTCGCCATTATCTGACGACATTTCCCCTATCCGCCACCTGGGGACGCGCCCGGTGGAAGTCTGGCAACTTCCCCCTGCAGGGCACTCCGACCCCACAGGGTACCGGGGTTGCCAATATACTGTCTGAAGTTTACGCGAGTGGTACACATTTAAATAAAGCACTTTAACGGTTTAAAACGCGACATAAATAAGTTAAATTTATTTGAAAATTATTTTAACTACGCTGCTGCAAAGCATCCGAAACGCCGGGCCGTAGTTAAAATAATTTTCAAATAAGTTTAATATATGTCGCGTTTTAAACTGTTAAGTTATTTAAATTATTCGCTAATATGTTCGTCGCACACGTTGCACTTTTATAAGGAAAATATAAAACCTTTCAAATCAGGCTTCGTTTTCATTATACACTGTAATTGTAGGGAGTTGTACAATTTTCATTCTTACTAATTTGAAACACATTTATACTCGTAAACTCGTCGTTAGACGGTTTTGATTCGTTTCAACGGCGACCACGACAAGTTGTTGCGTACTTTTAGCGGAATTCGCACAAAAGTTAGTAGATTAAAACTGCCAATTAGGAAGCATTTCAACTTCGAGTTGTTTTAGAATTTTCGTAATTATTCTTGGATGAACAATTAATGAAATACCAAAATAATTTTGCCTCTAATTGTAGCTTAGTTCTATTACCTATTACGTTTTAGGTCTTGTTTATTTCATTAATTCTGTTATAAGCTCATATTAGTCACATTATAATGATATTTTGACTAATATATATTACAAATTTGTAAGTAATAAAAGGGGACAAGGTATACAAAAAACGTTGCGCGGTAAATAAGTAGATTTTGTTAGACAGTTTAATTTAAGGTCAGGAGATAAGTCAAATTCTAAAATGGCGCAATTACATATAATATTCAAATTATTTCGTGATAAGTTTAAATTATAATATTCATTTTTTATGAAATCGATAGGAAAAGTTTTAAAATATTTAATCATAAGAGCTTTTCATAATATTGTGTTTCTTAATTATTAAGTATAGTCTGTAGTTCATGAGTAAAAGTATAAAGGCAAAATAAAATAGGTAACGCATATCTAAAGAGGATTTCTTGTTTTTAATTTGACAGCTTTTTTTTAAATTTAAATGTCAACTGTCATCCAGTGTAAATAAATTAAAAGTTCTGCGTCACTCCAACTCTTTGTTATTTGTATAGGTACATTGTGATTGTGTTATGCTGAATTTCAGCTGCAATTGTACGAGGACAGCGGAAAGGTTCAATTTAATGGTGGTTGGACATGACAAATGCTGCGTCGCCCCCTTTTTATCCGACGTTAACGCAATCGCCAGCCAATTTACATATTGCTTAATTAAATTATTATAATCTCATTTTATACCTCACTGACTTATTTATTGTTTATCAATTTGTGATCACCGCTCTATCTCAGTACTTTAAACACATTGGGCATTGTGAGTGGTCCTGATTTCGAATACCGGAAAAAATCGTTTGGGGAACATAACTACCTAATCTAATGACATTGATCAGTGATATAAATTTGACAATGGACGAAAATAGGATCTCACAATCTTTTTGGGTACAAGTTTTTTTTCATAATTTTATTTTTGTTTTATATTATTGACCGGTAGGTCTAGGAAGTATCTTTTAATTAGAAAAGATAGATAGAATAGTTAAGATACATTCATTGGAATAGTCGTGCAATTTTAAATATTTTTTATTGTTTTAGGGCAGTGAAGAAATCTTTTAAACAAACTATTTTTTAATTATTTATTATTCTTACAAAAATACAATTAGAAATAGACATTTACCAGATAATTACGTGACAGTATACTAAATTGCCAGTTAACAACTAAAAAAAAAAGCAGAATAAAATTATTAAATGTGTAAATGTTACGTTCTTGTGTTTGAAGTTGTGGTTTAACTTAAAATAGATTCTATTAAAATAATTTTAAATATCAAGTCATCAATGTTTGGTGACATTTGAAAATATTTAGTTCTGGATTATACTTACTTATACTTACAATACTTATATAGTGTGTTGTGTTTTGTATAGGTACGTTTAAAGAACTGAAATTTAACTTTGTAGAGATGTCTACGATAGAAACATTCGAGATTCCGAGTAATATAAGCAATCCGAAGCTTACGGAAGTTTCTAACGGCACCGAACTTAAGAATACAGACTGGTTGAAAATCCGTCCGTCTCAGTAGTTTTAAAAAACAAAATCCTGAACGCTCTGTGTCTGGAGAAGTGAGGTCAAAAAAAAAAGTAGCAAGTCTTGCCTCCGTTATAAACGCGCTAACCAGAATTTTGCTAAGCGAGGACCTGGTTCGAATCTCAGAATATAAATAAACAATGGTTATATACTTCTTTGGGAAAAAAGTCTGTTTAAAGATAGGAAGTTATAAGATTAAGGAATTTAAATAAAACACTTTAACGGTTTAAAACGCGATATATTAGTTAATCTTATTTAAAAATTATTTTTAACTTCGGCCCGACGTTTCGGATGCTTTGCAGCAGCCGTGGTCACGGGGAGACTAATATATCGCGTTTTAAACCGTTAAAGTGTTTTATTTAAATGTGTACTACTTGCGTAAACTATAGACAGTATTTAGATTAAGGAATTGTTAGCTACATATTTAACACTGCTTTTTTTTACAAATGGCATATCCAACGATTGTGGTACATTGTTCAATCATATGCCATGTCTTTGTAAGATATTTTTTCCCCCCCACCCCCCCCCCAAAAACTTTTTTTTTTTTTTTTTCTCCCAAAAAAAACCCCCCCCCCCCCCCCCCCCGGGAAAAAAAAAAAAATTTTTGGGGGGGCGCGCCCCCCCCCCCCCCCCCCCCCCCCCCCCCCCCCCAAAAAAAAAAAAGGGGGGGGGAAAAAAAAAAAAACCCCCCCCCCCCCCCCCCAAAAAAAAAAAAAAAAAAAAAAAAAAAAAAAAAAAAAAAAAAAAAAAAAAAAAACCCCCCCCCCCCAAAAAAAAAAAAAAAAAAAAAATTTTTTCACATGATAGCCAAATGCAAATTTTATGGTGGTTGAGGAAATATGCCGAATTCATCCACGCTGTCATTCCCAGTCTTGCGGCCAACAACTAAATTCTTAAGTCTCCACCCACATTCGAGCAAAAAGTCATCTCTGCTCGTTTAACCAGTTTGATTTTAGTCTAAATGATTTTGTGCGAGTTAGTTCCTGATTTTTATGTCCAAATGCAAAGTAATTTAATAATTTATTATATATAACATTTAAATAAAACACATTAACAGTGAATTAGGTAGACTTGTTTACAAATAATATTCACGGTCTCCCCGTGACCACGACTGGTGCAAAAAATCAGAAACGTCGAGCCTAGTTAAACATAATTTACTAAACTACTAACTTTAAATATTTCGCGTTTTAAACCGTAAAAATATTAAATTTTTGGTATTAAACGAGTTACCCTAATATCTTTTCAATTCAGTTAAAACTTACGGATAAGAGATACATTTAGGCTTTATTAATGACGAGCAATCTCTTCCATACAACACAAAATTATTCTTTCTTTAAGTGGAAACGTGAAAGATGCGCGATAAAAAATACCTATTAAACAAAGTACAATTGAAAAAATTTGTACTTGTAATTGTAATTAGATTGATAAAACTAATAGTAAATATATACAATGAGCACTCAACAAAACCGAATTCGGCTTCCGATTAAAAAGCTAAATAACATCGGTGATCCAACTAAGCTGAGCTGATTAATGGTAAAATGTACATTGAATCGTTACTTTTCATTACTGTTTCGAAGTGCGGTACCAGCCCGGGAGCCAGTTGGTCAGATTAGAAAAGTTCACTCCAAAACAAGTCCAAAATCGACTTTAAAAGCATAGTCTAACATTTGGTTTTAGAAGCGGCTTCACGAATTGAACGCAACTTTAAATTGGAATGTAACCCGCAATAAGCTTTCGTGATTGGTCTGTTTGTTCTTAATTAGTATTAATCGGAAACCCTTGTGGTAAACAGAGTATAAACTTAGTCAAATACAATTACCTATATTACCTGGAATCTACATATACGCACTTAGCGACAAGTACCTTTGTAAACAATAAAATTAGTCATAATTGAGATACTGTCTGTTTACGCGAGTAGTACACATTTAAATCAAATACGTTAACGGTTTCAAACGCGATATATATGTGATAACTTGTTTGAAAATAATTTTGACTACAACCTGACGTATCGGATGCTTTGCAGCAGCCATAGTAGCGGTGCTTCAAAGCATCCGAAACTATGTACAATTCATTTACTCCCGATTTAAATATAGTAAATTAACTAAATATGCTGAAAAGTTTGTTTGTTGAACGTGTAGAGTATGAGCACTATTGTGTTAAAATTAAAAAAAATCTTTATGTGTTGGATTGAGCATTTATCAAGGAAGGCTGTATAATATCATGCTGTGACGAATAGAAGTGAATAAATACTGGAAAATGTGAAAAAAAAACGGGGAAAACTATTCATTTTTGTGGTATCTGTTGCATGCGCTCTGAAAAAGTCTCAAGAAACCAAAAAATATGTCTGAAAGAAAAATTCTTCTTTAAATCATTTAAAAAATGTCCGCTACCAGAATATGTCTATCTATTAAGATTCACTCGACGGGATGCGGAGGACGTTGTGGGTAACGGCTACAATTCATAAAGTTTAGAAGGTTGTTTGCAAAAATGGACGCCCAAAATATCTATTCCACGTAGACGAAGTCGCGGGCACTGCTAGTCTGCTGTAGATTTTAGACGCTAATTAAAAAAAAGACCAACTGCATTATGGGTCTTACGTGCACATTGTGAAAATTATAATGATTCAATTTAAAACGTCTTTTAGTTCATCTACTAAAGAACAATATAAATAAATAAAAAATGTCTATTCAAATATTTTTTTTACATTTAGTGTATGAAATAAACGAGGTTACACTAAAATCATGGGTATTTGAAACATAAAGACTAAATATGCAGCCATTTTCCATATACAGGAGTAATATAGGTATCAATTACTTAACATGAAAATTTGCAATCAAAATAATGCGTCCACTACGCGGTCATTATGTAAAACTGATCTAAAAACGGGAGAATATATGCATCGCATCATACTCATTAAAAGGGGAGTTTATCCAAATTATCCGCAGCTAATTTTCCCCGTATATGAAAATGGGGAATGTATGAATGCAATAATCTTTTCCACGTAAATGTAATTTTACTAATATTTTAAGTGCTATAGTATGTCTGGGTGTTATTTACACTTCCGCGCAAAAAGTACTAAATATATTTTACCGTAACTATACAACAGTATAGTTTAAACATAGAAAACAAATGAGAACTTGAATATTTTTCATAGAAATCCATTTTAGATTGAAAAATTTTGCGATCGCGCAGGACTTTAATCGGCATCTATAACGCCCGTGCTGTTGCTCTAACCAATTGAACTAACCTTCACATCAACGTTTTTTTTAAAAACTTAATAAAATCAAAACGAATAATAACATAATAAGAACAATATACAAGAAAAGTATGTTAGTTACTCTGGTGTGCCTTTCAAAACAAAATACTATCGGTAAAGTAGTGTTTTTCATGGTGTACACGAGTAGTCGTGTTAATAGGATACATTAAATAATTTAAAACTTAACTTTAAAAATGTATGAGGTATGTTATTTTTAATTACGACCCGACGTTTTCGATGCATTGCATCTCCATAGGTCATTTTCACGAAATAATAATATTGAATGAATGGTGAAAAGATGAATGAAGATTTAATTAAATTATCTTATGTACTGCAGTGAGCATAGACTTATTTCTTATACTATAAACGATTTTTTTTGTTACAGAAAGCCTAAGAGATTACTTTGGCAAATTCGGCGAAATCACAGAAGTAATGGTTATGAAAGATCCCACAACGAGGCGGTCGAGGTAAGTTATTTGCTTTTATATAATTGACATACTTTAGCTATGTGTAACTCAAAAGAAAACAAAATATACGAACAATACAAAATATATAAACATACTTTCTCCTAATACAACTTAACTTACATCTACAGGAACCTCTATTTTATTCTTATTTTTTGTTAAGTGTCTCGCACGTATTGGTAGGAGCCTGATGTTTTATAACTGACCAATTAAAACATAATTTTTCAACACGAACCAGTGTTTCCGGATATTAGCGCGTTCTAACTAACAAAGTCTTCAGCTTTATTATAAATAGATAAATACAGTATCGTTAGCGTATCGTAAGTAGCACTTGCCGCTTGAATTTTTTAATTCAAGCGGCAAGTGAACAAAACCGAAGTCCGTTTGCTTAATATTCAAAATCACTTCACCTCGACTGCCAGGTATCCACGTCCGGTATGCATTGATATAAATGAAGCATAGAAGCATCTTGCAGCTGAGTAGTCATCTCAATAACTATAACGTTCGACAATCTAGCGACTGTGCACACAAAGTGGCTTAGGAACTCGCGAGACAAGAAATAAGTTGTCAAAGTGTCGAGGTGAAGTTTGTCTGTTAACATCGTCTACAGTTAAACCGTCGGTTTCACAACTCAATATTGCCCCGCGCTGCCCTGAAATAATATCCCTGGAACCGATATTGGTGCGGCTCAGCTGTGAATCTGAATGCAGTCTGCAAGCCATTACGTGCTCTGCCTCAGCCAAATGTAACTAAATGTCTTTTGTTTATGCTTATTGCTATATTGGGTATCGGGCGCTGTTAACGGGCTGTTAATTAAACGGCTTAGCCCGGTTATCGTTGATTTGATCAGAGTTTAATTAAATTTCTAATACTTTATCGCTTCACTGTACTTGTTGCGCGTAGATGATATTAAAGGATTTTTATAAGATAAAGAGTGTAGTGTAACGAAATATATTAGCTTACACGTGGTTCTCTTGTACTCGTACGGCCTTAGTTAAACCAAATTGTAAATAAGTTAACAAAACGTCCGGTTTTAGGCCGTTGAAACTGTTTTATTTAACGGGCAAAGAGTGTAAGGATCTAGAAATATATCTGCTCTCTGCATTTCACGTAAAAATAATGTGAATTGCAAAAATTCCATACGTGAGCACTGTAATCTAACTTAAAAACACTTGTATATTTGTTATAAAGATTTCTCAAGTCTAAATATACTTTCTTTTCGTTTACCTGCCTCCATGCCTCAATAGTTATTACCTAGCAATGCGTAATAAGTTAAAATCCTGAACATAATAGTTGTCGGGTGCAAAGGTGAGATCTACTATTTGCCTGTAAATAAAAATCAATCAAAATTATACCAAAGGTATATGGGGCACCCATACCCCATACAAAAAAAATAGTGGGACACACTAGGTATCAGTAGAATACACGAATGTGTATCAAAGAGTTATAGGGTTATATATATATTAAACATTTCGAATTCAAACAAAATCGATTCAAAATTATAATGTTAGAGAGACGTTAACAAACTTCTAAAATATAAAAGAGCCATTATCAACAGCGAAATCATAAAGCATATATCACCCACTCTTTCAAATCGCAATAAGATATTGTATAAACAACAAAGAACATTTTTCCGCTTTGTTTTCGGTTTTAAATCTTTTGTAACAATGTTTCTCGTCTGCGAAATGTTTTTAGGTCGACACCTTATCGTAATCGTAAATCAAGTGGACATAGGCGAAGGTTAAGATGTACCAGCCGGTGTGCCCAAAGTGATAACAAAAGTTCGCGTAAACAAGACGGGATATATAAAAATGGTTAACCATTCTCGCTTGTTTGCTTTCGACTTAGACCTGTCGGTATTTGCTAAGTGGCGTTTCTCTCTTTATGTAGCGTTGATTTGTGTTAAAATTTTTTGGAGGTTTCTTAACTGGATTTAACATTTAAATGGGTATTTAAAATATAGTTAAACTGGACCTCGTTTTTTTATTAACTGGTTTTATTATTTGAATGGATAGTAAAAATATATTAAAACAAAATATACATTTTTGTGATTTTTTATTTTTTTACAAGGAAAGCACAATTAGAAGAGATTACTAAAAAGAAAGCCAATTTATTTATTTTGTAAATAGTCATAAAATAAATACTTCTAACACAAATTGTGCGAATGCGATGCATTTTTAAACATCGAAAAAATTTCGCTACATAAATCGACTAAACGATAAAACTATATCATAGATATACTAATAATAGCCTAATCGAATATATCTGTATTTAAATAAAACACATACATATATAATTTTATTTAAATGTGTACTACTCGCGTAAACTACAGACAGTAGTTTTTTTTATAATTTCTTAAGTTAACATTTTATTTTAACTACGTCCCGACCGCTACGTTTCGGATGCTTAGCAGTAGTCGTGGTCACGGTGGGACTAAAGATGCAGGGTCTCCCTAATATCAAAGTCAGATCAATTCAAATCTAGAAATCGCGTTTAACGTACTTTTAAGCCGCGGAATTAATTTAAGCTTCTAAATATCTTTTAGCCAGTAATAATTCAGAGGCTGCCTATAAAACTTCGATCGTCATATTTCAATACGCTTCAAAGTTCGTCACATCGACGCCCGTACGCACGGGACCCACTTCTTTAAGTCTAAGGTTAAGTTTACCCTTGGACTTTGCCAACTACATCTCGTGCAGGCTAACTAAATCAATATCCGAAGTCAATGAATCAGGAGAAATATATTCGGGTACATAATAAATGTGCGCTACCTGAAGGCAATATCTGAAAAATTTGCCTGCTCGATATTGCTTACAAGGGAGTTTTCCTTTCTCCCCAAAATTTAATGCGTCGTTCGCATTTTTATAGAAAGAAGTAGGCAAGTGAAATAATTTGCGGCCGGTGCTATATTTCCCTTTATTTATTTTAATGGCGGGTCTCTTTCTTGTTTTTGCAAGGACTCGCGGAATTGGATTTGCAGCTAGCACGTGTGAAATTATATCAGTAAAAATTTTATTACGCGTGAAAATGACAATGTGAAATTTTCCTTTCCGAAACGTGAGCCTTTTGTTTCGTAATAAAAAGTTTAAAATGCAAACTTCGAGAATAAAGTAATCGAGAAAATTATTTAACGGTTTAAAACAAAGACCTTTATCATAATTTTATGGGTAAAGTTTGCAAAGTTGAGACGCCCATTTCTTGTAAGAGGGTTGAGTAGATGATATGATTTGTGTCTTGACATTTTTATGACAAATGGTACTTTTAACTGAATATGACTAACTTTTATACAGTTCGATTGAGAATGATACTAGATAAACTTTGTGTATGACCTATATTTGGGTATATTATATATTAAAGGTATAATAACGTTTTAAATGATTCTAAAAATATTTACATACAGTTTAAAAAGTACTTTGATAATGAAAATTAATCTCTGTCTTTAGAGTGTGTTTTAGCTACATGGTTAAACGCAGGTACGTGGTTTGAATCTCGGGGCAAGATAATTGTCGGTAGATGTCTGATTTACTTGTTTAAAAATCAAATATATTAGCGAAACAGGCATAGAAATGTCTGCCACACACCACAGGGAAATCGGAATTTTATTTAATTGCTTAAGTAAAAATCTCGTGTCTAAAATCGTAATATAATATGTAAATTTAATCTATATTTTTACTAATGCGTGAAAACTATTTATGATTCAAGTTCAAATACATTGCCAGTGGCTAAGTATGGGCAATATTTTGTTTTTTAGATAATTTATACGTGTGTCTGTTGTTGTGTTTCACGGCCATTTTGTAATGTTTTCAACATCTTGGCCGTTAAAATATACAATTGCATTAATATTTAAGAAGCGATATTTACATTTGGTAGACTTGAAATAATTTTGCACATTAAATATATGTTTAATAACATTAACTTCTTCACTACAATCGCCTGATGAAATTCGAGTTTTTACAAATTGACATGAGGGTAGCTATGCGTTATTAATAGCACTCTTTACAAGAAGCTTAGAGCAGCTTACGCGGCGCGTCTCCATTCACGAGCATTTCATACGTTTCGTTTTCCACTAAAAATCTAAAATCAATAAAGGATCACGGCATAAATGCCAAGATTACCGGCCTCGTTTTTCCCTCGGCTTGAAAAATATACGCGCCATTACGTGAACCGTCCGAAATAAAACCGCGAATCACTATGAGACTGTAAGTAGCACCATAAAAGGAGGATCCTTCGGAATCGCTTCGGCAAACACCTACAGAGGAATGGAGTGGTGTTAAATGAGAGGGATTGGGCTCCCCCCTCCTCCGCGGACCTCAGCCGTCACCGATCCGCATCTCAGCTGATACGGGCCCGAGCAAAGTATTTAATTCATGCTTCAGAACACCACTTTAGCGCGGCTCATTGAACAGTGGTAGACTTGGATCTGTCTCATACATCTCTTACGGAGTTCAATGTGCAAATTATTTCAAGTTTACCAAATGCAAAAATATTGATTTCTGAACACTGATGTATATGTAGGCTTTCGCGGCCATTTGGAGTTTTCAAAATATCTTACACTATGTAATAATCAAAACATTGTAGAGACTATAAGGCTTTTATTTTCTATAGCTGGGTTTTCGAGCTATTCGACCGTCGTTGGTTATTCACTATGTGTTACCATCACGAGTGGTGATAGATTTTGCGCGTTCTTCAACTTGATATTACGAATAGACAGGTTATGTAATATTCTTTTATGAATATTTCGTTGCAATTACCTAAAATTATATTGTCTCTACAAAGTTTCTATTCTGGTTCAAACCAGTAATACTTTAATGACATCGTGGACATGTAATTATTGGAAGGTAGGTTTCCGCCCTATAACATCTAATCAGGATGCATTATTGTCTGTTGTGTAAACCTTTTTCGTCAGTAGACGGTGGTTCTGGATTCAAACGGGATTTCGTTATTTCTAATACAAATATATAGATTTTAGAAAAACAGGAAACTCTTACCAAACCTGTAGTCGG